AGCAGTCGGGGTCTGCCAAGGATCCCAGGTCAAGGACTACGGCCGAGTTGTGCCCAACCCAGGCAAGACCACCATCACTGCCACCATCGCCAACGAGCTGCTGTATGCCGGCACGTCCGTGACCGCCGTGACGATCCTGAAGAACACAAACAACATGATCCAGGTTCCCCACGGACCGCTCACCAGACCCTCGGAACAGCTTGCCTATCTTGCGTCTGTACAGGGTCTGCAGGTAAACGGCACTTTGCCTTCACTAAAGCGTGGATTTTATAGTTGTATTTTATTTTTTTTTACTACAAGAATGCGATTTGCTTGCAGGTAGAATACAAGGATTTCCCAAAAAACAATAAGAATGAATTTGTATCGCTGATTAACTGCTCCTCCCAGCCTCCGCTCATCAGTCATGGCATTGGAAAAGACATAGAGTCCTGTCATGATATGGTAAGTAATTAAATATAACTTCTATAAAAGTACTTATAATTTAAGAAAATGTCCAGAATCCATTCATAGCCACTTAAAAAAAAAAAAAACTCAAATTAGCTGGAAAGATGTCTATTATATTTATATATGTATATTTTAAAATACGATGCAAAAAAAAAAATAATAATAATCACAAGAAAACAGAGCTTTGTTTTTCATAGTACTGTTTTAGAATGGATCATACTTAACATGAACAAAATTAAACATGACTTCGGGTGGATAAAAGGACACTCAGTGTTCAGTTATCCCTTATTATCCACATGAAAAAAAAATATTGTTCCCTGGAGTTGCACAATGTATGCATATATAGTCTTAGAAAAGTACATTTTATTTGTATAGCAACTCTCATTAATAAAACTCTCAGTCTTTCACAATAAGAATGCACAAAACTTAAAACTGGATTCAAAAGGCAAAACAAATGAAGGTACAGATTATCTAACATTTAAAATGGTTTTAAGGAAAAGCATGTTTGGATAAAAATGCCAGCTTTTTAAATAAGAAATGCTCTTCCTTCAACCTGTTTTACAAAAAATGAACTGAAATACCCATCGATGTGTAAAGCCGTTGCAGGAATGCAGGTTTTTGTTTGCAAAACATTTCGAAATATTGCTCTTTTTTTTTCCTATTTCACAAGTATGCCCTGCTTTAAATACTAATAAAATACAATTTGGTTTATAGTTGTTCCATCACAAAATGTGATGAAATTCAAGGAATATCAGTATTTTGTATGTAGTTTTGCAGAATCATACACACAGCATCTTTTCAGCTTCTTTTTTTTTTTTTTTTTTTTTTTTGAGACGACAGTTGCAGATGAATATCTAGCAACAGAAAAACGTGACAATATATGTTCAGTAGTGAGTCAAACATTTGCTGAGTATTAAAACTTTTCGGTGCCTTTGGATCTCTGAGTTACTGCAGTGCAAGACAGAAGGCTTTGTTAAACCTGGTGCTGAGCGTAAACCAAGAACTGTCTGTCTGAAATGGGCTTCAGTGTAATAAATGTTATTCCTTTTATCTCTGCAGGCTGCTCTGAATATATTGAAGTTGCTGTCAGAGTTAGACCAGCAGCCAAACGAAAGGACAGGGAACGGACCAGCCTCAGGGTAAGACGTGAAGAAATGCCACGTTGACATTTAGTTTTACCCATCAAACCATCAACTTGCTTATAATTAAATTTTTTATTGGAGGTGAAAAGATTATTATTTTTTTTTTTCAGTTTTGCGTTTGTGGTGTTGGTTATTGAATTACTTTATATTCAAATAAAAATAAAAGTGCAACTTATTTAAAATAGGCTGGATGTAACGTCTAATAAAACTTTATATTTCAAGAAATATAAGCCGAGCTTGAGGCTCTCGCGTTGAAATACCTCCAGCCTCTTTTTTTTTTTTTTTTTTTTTTTGGGGGGAAAAACCCTTTTTTTTTTTTACACTGCATTTCTTGTTCTACTCTGTATTTCCCCCCTATTTGATCAGCCTTACAGCAAAACTGAATCTGTCCTTTTTTTTTTTTTTGCTGCAGGTGTGGCAAGCAGGAAATGAAGGGTGACCTGCACCTCAAACAGGCTAACTCAAGCACACTGACACAGACGCTGGATAGCACGGCTTAGATCAGGTCTGGTTGTCTGTGAAAGCACTAGAGAAAACTCGCCACACTGCGTTCTTGTTTTTGGCTCGCTGTGGATAGCTTCACCCACTGTGGGCCCTGAAGTGTGAAGCTTACTGTTACAAAATGTTCACAGTTAAACAAGATTGATAGGAAAATAGCTTCTCCTTAATGTTGTTTAATTGTACACATTATTTATTTTTCTTTTCAATATAGAAACAAGAGCTGCATCCTAGTCGATGATTTTTTTTTTTTTTTTGAGTGTATATGATTAAACAACAACAACAAACCCTTAAGTGATGAACTGTGAACGTTGTTTTGTTTTGGATAGAAATTGTTTCTTATATTTTTACATGTTTTTATGTTTTATTCCCACCAAGCTAGTTGATAAAGAAAATATGTTAAGTTTGGGCCTCTTCTTGGTCTAGGGTGCAGCTGGACGAACCTTTGTTGATTTTCCTAGAGTGCTTTCTATAAACAACCAAAAATTATTTACTAAATGTAGCGTGTGATGTAATGTGATTGTCACTGCTGTGTGTGGCGGTGACGTCCCCCATGACCCCTTTTTCTCCCTCATGTCACCTTCGCTTCTCTATCCATAACCACAATGGTAATTAAACTTCTGTGTCTGCAGGCACAAGACAAATACTTCTACTGTCTTGCACTTTTTATTCCCCCCCTCGTCTACTGATGGCTGATATAGATACAATAGACTTTCTCCGAGCCTGATGTGAGCCTTTTTATTTATTTATTTATTTATTTATTGTTTTTTGGGGGGTTTTTTGTGGCTGGGATGCTAAAACTCATAGTGGTGGAAAAATTGTAAAGAAGTAAATGAAAGGAGGAAAATGTTAAAAAGCTTCTAGTTCTTTTTAACCATTAGTTTCCCATTTTAATTAGAAAAAATATGGTAGGTTTTGTATTTATAAAGATTTGGGTAATTTGAGCTGTAATGGAATATTATAGACTGGAAAAAGTTTAAGTCAAAATGGGGAAAAAAAAAAAAAAGATTTTTTTTTTTTTTTGCGGTACATGACTGGAGATATTTATTATGCAGCACTGTGCTTTAGGAAATCCATTAGTCTCGCTCGCTCCCTTCCATGAAAATAAATTTGGGCATTGGATTTTGATGCACTGCCACACTGCTGTATTCTGAGAATGGCAAGTCTTGTTCCTCCGATGTTGGACCTCAGTGACTTCGAGCAAAACGTGGATTTCTCACAGTTTTTTCAAAACTCATGGATATTGCACATTAACCTCCATTTAGCTATTCACCTTCCGTTTAAGATTGGATTGTATCAAACCTTTGAAGTTTTGCTTTTTTTTTTTGTTGTTGCTTTTTTTAAACGTTACAGTTTGTAAGAGAATAGCTGAAACAAATGATTATTTTTTTCTTTTTCACTTATATATTGTATCCCGCAATATCCAGCTACATCAAGTTACAAATGGAAAAAAAATATATTTTCAACATTTTTGATCTGCTGACATTTTTAAAATATAGTGACAATAGTTTGAGGGCATTTTAAACTACGTCTAACCATTTTAGAAACCTGTAATTTTCATATTACTCCTCGACTGAGTTGTCACTTAGCACAAATTTCTGAATGAATAGTTAAACATTTTTCTGCTGAATTAATAATAGCTTTACCTTTCGTCAAGCTATTTATTCTTTCTACTACATGCAGTTTAACTTCAAAGCGAGACCCTAACTCTCCATTGTTTTGCCTTTAGTCCTTGTTGCTGGTGAAAGGGAAATGTGGACCAGTCTTAACCTATGAAATGATGTTGGATTTCCATAGCAACAAACTGAAATTAGATGTTTAGATAAAGAATGTTGATAGGAAAGCCAATTCTCATTCGCTGTGGAGTTGATGTGATGCTCACGCTCTAGACAGGAAAGTCAAGTAGAAGAAGCGGTGGATTCATGGCTTGTCAAAGTGTCAAGATGCTTAAAACAATGGTAAGTGCAATCGTACATTAAGCACTGGTAAAAAACCAAACGCTAGAACAAAGAGGTGCAGTTTCCCTCCCTGTGTCCACCATGTAGGAACACAACGTGGCCTTCACCTCTTCAACCTTCTCACTCAGCGACTCATAGAATAGAAACATAAGAAAGCCCACAACAGCAAACTTACTGGTACAGTCATGCTACCATGTGCAACAGCCACACATCAGCTGTAGGTACTTGATATACATTTGTTTTTATTTAACACACAGCTTATACACAATAACATGCTTAGTGGAATTCACTAAGCATGTTGAGGTTAGGTTTTTTTTTTATTTTTATTTATTTATTTTTTTAATTGCTAAAATTGTTTTTCTACCAAACGCATGAGTAGTTTGTACATGCAAGTCACATTTGCAGGATAGTTTCATGCATGTTTAATGAGCTAAACAGAAGTTATCCCATTGGCAAAGACTCGAGCTCAACAAAACAATCTTCCAGCTTATTTGCTTCTTTTTAAGCACTTTAAAGGACACAATTTTAAGTCCACGTAGTTTCCCTTATTCGAAACAAGATGATGCGACTTATTCTGATAAATTCAAATGTGATTAATAATCTGGATCAGCAGGTTTATGGACATAAAATATCCAAATCCACACTCGGATACGAGGCTGTGTTGCACGTCCATGTGGTGTTAATAATTAAAAGGCATCTGGACTTTCAGTTTGATCTTAAGGATGGTTATGCTTTTCATCTGAAGTACTTCAACTAAAGAAGAGTCCAACTAGAAGTGCAGACAGCCAGGCTGCTGTTCACCTCTTTCCGATGGTCTCTGCTTCCACCAGTTTATTTAAGCTCCTTCCTTTTGGATGCCAATAAAACCACTTCTGTTGTAAGCTGTGAAAGTAAACATTTCATGGCTGCTGAGCAAAATAATGTGCCAGAGATCATTGTTGATCCTTATAGATTTATGCAGAATGGTAAAGGGTAAAGTTGAAAGCTTGCCATGGGATCAGAAACAACCAAACATGTTGGCTCGTGATTTTTTTTTTTGTTTGTTTTGCTTTGTTTGTGTTTGATGTTTAAAACCCAAACCTTATTTGGATTTAATTGGATGGGGTGTAACGGAAGAAAAAATATGCATCCACAGGAGGTAAAAGAAAACTCTGAAAAGCTGCATTACAGCTGAAAGATTTTTTTGCCATCATCTCTGCACATGCTGAGGAAAACCTGGAGTGAGCGTTCTGTTTTATTTGATTAGAGCACCTATTTTCATATGTTTGCTGATTCTACCGTCATGGCCCATTAAAAAAAATAAAAAATAAAAGTAAAACTGGTCACTCTCCCATAAAGGCCAAATTTGTGGAGTACATCACTAGGACTGATGAGAAATATATACTTTTGCAAGGCGCTGTAAGCACAGATGCATTCCCGGCACACCAAAATGAGAGAGGTTACCGAGATATAACCTCTCTGTCAGATGGAAGATGGAGTGTGAAAGTCACAAGTGATGAGAAAGCTTAAGACCATTATATTTTTATGTTTTTTGGGAACATGGCTTGCAACCAAAGCAAATAGTGAAAGATTGGCTGTAATATTGATTGGATGTGGTGGGAAACATAGAAGCATTATAATGAACCTCAGCCTGTTTCAGTGTTAGCCAGAAAAAAAAAAAAAAAAAAAAAGCTTGGCTGTGTAGTTAGCATGTCTGGAAGTATCACTGAATCATCAGGATGAATGGATACGATTCAAAGATTTAATCTGGCTTCACTTCAGCAGCTGCTCAACTGAGCAGTGAGAATCATATTGAATAAGTAAGAATATTATCACAATACACACATACTGTCTACTTCATAAAGGCAGGCTTCTGTGAGCCTAGTTCTGTTTTCTAGGTGAACACGAATGGCCTGGTTCTTATGAATTTAGAAATGCTTTGCGAGAGCAATTAAAGCTCTTTTCATAGCTTCCCTACCATCATTTTTTATTTAGACTCACAATTATGTGCTGTGCAGGGACTTAAAAAATGTCCCATCTCAATAAAGCTTCAAGAGTAAATTAATTTAAGACCATTTAATTATGATATAACATTTGTTTTGAAGCAATAACATTGGCAGTGTTGCACAGTCCTCAGTGGATTTCATTAGTTGGCAGATAATTGAAAAACTCAGAGTGAAGCAAACAAAAACATTTTTTATTTTTTTTACATATCAATATGTTTCTACTTTTCTAAATGTATCAAGGATATTTCCAACAAAGGACAAAGAAAAGGGCAAAATGATTCATTTTGTCTGTTTATATATATAAGCAGACAACACTTTATAACTTTATGATTTTCCATTTGTTATTAATTAAAGATTTTAACAAGTGGAGTTTTAGTGAAGAATCAAGAAGACTTATTTTTATTTTGAACTGCAACAACATGACTGTGTGATTTCTAGGCTGTAATAACCAACCTATGTTTAACTTTACCAACGGCTATTTCTGTTCCATTTTTTTTTTTTTTCAGTGCACTGTTCCTTTAAAAGATGCAGCGACGTCTGATGAATAACTTCCAGCTCATCACCCTGCTTCCTGCCTCTGGTGATCACACAACTGGCACAAAACTAACTAAAAAGAAATTACTCTGTCTTGTTAGAATTAAAAACAGCAATTCTGGGTGAGAAAAACGATCACAAGGTCAAAATGTGTTATTTGTGGCTGTATGCACAAATTCACAGATTTTTAAAATGTATTTCTTTTTTTCTGTTTTGTTAGATAGAATATCAAGCAGACTTTAATACCAGACAAAGATAACCCGAGTCCACGCAAAATTCAGTTTTCCAGTTATCCCAAAGAATTTGGGGGAAAGGTACAGGGGACTGGTGAGACAAATGACAATATTTGAGATTTTTGCAAATGTATTAAAAATAGAAAACCAAATGAACAAAAACAAAAATTTAAAAAAATGATTGATCTAAAGCCTTTAAGCGTGACTTAAAAAGAAAAGAGCAGTCATCTATAAAAGTCACTGTTTGATGCTTTTACATTTCAGTATTGATCAGAAATGATTTCTTTTTGCCATCGATTCTGTTTTCATCTTTTTCTTTGCGATACGCTTGGTGAAAACATTTTCGTCTCATTTCAAATGTAAATCTACCCGACATTACAAGGAACGTCATCCTTTTCATTCCTGCGTCCTCTGTTGCGCCAGCTCTTACTACTGCTGGTAACTATGGCAACCATATCTAAAATATGAGCTCAACTCTCCATTCAAGACATTATCACCACCAGTTAAAGATCTCAGCCTAATTTAAAAAAACAAATCAATTTTATAAAAAAAGGACACTACTCAAGGAAGTGAGAGACCAATTAACTGAACTACATAAACATACAAATAGACACCAAAAAAACCCCAAAAACAAATATAATACACATAATTTGCTGATGATTTGGTGCTGATATATTGTTTGTCCTTAAAAGTTTTGAATGGCGAAATTTTACATTTAAAGAAAAGCAGTCCAAATCTGAGGTGGTAATGTCCTTCACAGTCATTATGTTTTCAATCACGACTGGTTCATCTCATTGCTTCTTAAGTGACTAAATAGAAAACCCAAGTCATTGTTTCACACAAATGAACAATGACACGCAAATACTGGCTAATTTGTATACTATAAAATGTAATTTTCTTATCATATTTTCCAGTTTGGCACTTTAATAAAAGGTA